TTCTTGGGACTCTCCTACCCCCCCCCATGTGTTAGGTACTGTGCTAGGAACAGGGGATCAGGATCAACTTATCCATGAAAGACAGTGAGAACAGTCCCTAGGCCCCCGGAAACAACAACAAGAAAGTGAACTTTTAGGGTCAAAGAAAATAGTTTATTTTCTCAGGTCAGGAAAAAAAATGTGTTAATGTTTTTAACTCATGCAAATCTATTATAGCAGGTGGGGTCAAGGAAGGCAAGCATGATTAGGGCCCACAAAAGTCATAGTGTGGCACAGTAGGGCATGTCAGACAGGGCAAAGCAGATCAGCCCATCCCTGCCCTCCTAGAATGTTCGGGCAGATGAAAGAATAAGGCATCATTCAACAAGTCTCTTGGTCTCACTCTTGTATGGCTTCATCCACCCACATTGCCAGTTCAGCCCTTATCTTTGCTACCAGGTCCCACTTGCTACATTTAATAGCATTCAGCAAATTGCTACATGGCCCTTCTATGTGCCTACCACCATGTGAGGGATGTCAGCTAAAGCTAGGAAGGAAACAGATGCACGTAGAGATGCCAAAGTCCTCAGATTGTAGCCTGTCCTTACAGTGTCTTCCCCTAGACAAATCACGCTCACCTGCTTTGGCAGAGCTGCTTCCTACTTAGGTTATTGGGCACAGCAGCATTTCCCCCTGACAGACAGTTCCCAGCAACCTCTAGTCTTAGCACTCCCACATAATTATCCACCTTAGGATGTGTAAAAGAAGAGCCATGGGCCAGGTTCTCAGCTGATGTCAGCTGTGATCACTAGGGACAGAGTGCTAGGCCACTGGCTCTGGACCAGGGCAGGGGACGAAGAGAGGAGTCAGCAGTCGGGATATTGAGTGGACATGTACCAGCCAATGAGCCTCAAAAGCAGGCACCGCCCGTCTATTAGTGGAGACTGAGTGTCACTAGGATGCTGGATAGGTTCCAGCAGAGCTTCCTGACTAAGATAGACTAGGAAGAAAGATTTGTGATCTCCTTCCAAAAATCAGCCAGGGAAAACCCAATGGGTCCCAACCGAATGTGAGGAGGGTAGAGAACGGGGCTATGTTCCGTCCTACTGTGTGGCATCACCGTGAGTCAAGAGTCAATGCCACAAAGATGAGCTTGAAATGAGACATTACTGGGATGTGACCATTGACTACATATCTTGGACGAGACCCTGCCTCCCTTCTATGCACCTGATGCTCCATCTGTAATCTGAAGGCATTGTTTTTGTTGTTGTTGTTGTTGTTAGGTGTATTGAGTCAATGGCAACCCCTGTACACAACAGAACGAAACACTGCCCAGTCCTGCTCCGTCCGCACAACTGTCCCTGTGCTTGAGCCCATTGTTGCAGCCGCCGTGTCCATCCATCTCCTTGGGGGCCTTCCACTGGTTCATTGCCCCTCTACTTTACCCAGCATGATGCCATTTTCCAGAGACTGGTCTCTCTTGGTCACATGTCCACAGTCTGTAGGACAAAGCCTCACCAACCTTACCTCTAAGGAGCGCTCTGGCTGCATGTCTTCCAAGACAGATGTTTGTCCTTCTAGCGGTTCAAGGTACTTTCACTATTCAAATGATGATGGCAACATATGGATCAGTGTGCTTAATGAAACTGAATGATGGATTATTATAAGATTTGTTTCCACAATGCTCACCTTCCCGACACAATTACTGAAGACAAAGCAATGGAATAAGCAAACGTGGTGAAGAAAGCTGATGGTGCCCGGCTATCAAAAGATATAGCATCTGGGGTCTTAAAA